CACCCTGCGCCAGCAGATCCATTGGGGAATTGTGTGTCTCCACTCCCATCCAAGTATTCTCATACTTAACTAGGAGAGGCCACTGCATCTAACCATGCAGGCTATTATTATGTGGGGCACGTGAGGCACCGTTAGTGAAACAATCCATTTCCAGAATGTTAAAGCACTAAAGTAAAACAGACAAATTGTGCAGCAGGTGGCAAGATTTGCCTTTTCTAAATGGACAAGCTTCCACGTTTCTGTGTGAAATTGCGCAAAGGGCTCATTAGTCATAATGTCTGGTGCAGGTTCTTAAAGCACTGAGAGCCTGGAGTTTTGGCCATTGCTAGACACACAGAGGAGATTGTGAAGACATCACCAGAGACCACTGCAGAATCATCTAATGCCACTTGCCACCTGTAAACTTCCAATATGATGCACAAGCTGAACCCTGACTATGCTGTATAAATGGGATTGTTTTTTTATGGATGCCCTCCTGAAATGTCTTGAAATGAGCTTCTAACTAAATAAAGCCCAAGACGGATGATTGTCTCGCAGTCAGCTAAGGCTGTGTGAACACGTCACCAGTATGTTATGTGCGTGTATGCTGATATACAGAGGAGTACAACTGCATGATGTGAAAATGATGTAATCACTGCTCTTCTCACCAGAGCACTGGACAAGGGCAACACCAGCGGTCTTAAAGTGCCTGCACTGCCTGGAACGAAGAGTGACGCAGGGGGGGGGGCGTAGGTAGCCTGGGACAGGATGGATTTTCTCCACCAGCGCCAAGCGCGAATGTCTGCGAGTGACTCACTGCGTGTTTGATGAAAGCTCTGCTGCGGCTAGCCGCGCGAGCCGCGGCCAGTCCACACCAATAATCCCTCAAATCACGCGACACCGAGACCAGTCAAGGCTCCGAGCAAAGCAACAGGAGTGACACGAAAAAAAGTTCTCAGCTGTTCTCTGGCAGTTCGGACTCCCGGATTTATCTTAAAAGCACCGTATTCTTCTTATTTTCGTGCGTGTGTGGGAGTGGAAAATGATCCCTAGCCTTTTTTTTAACTCTGCAGGCTGACAAGCACAGCTTGAATAATTTAATCTCAATGCTCAAGATCATATCCTGGCCCACCAAAATTAGCTGAGTCTAACCATTCCAATCAAACTTGGCATGCATGTCTTGCTTAAAAAAAAATACGTTTTACTGGAAGTTGGATTGAAGCTTCCAAAGGAAAGCTAAACAAGACTGGATTTATTGCTTCAACATCTCCCATCAAAGCGTGAAAGAGCTCACCAACAATAGGAGGTTTAACCACAATCTGGCTGCTTGTGCTGACTTCTGCAGTCCTGAGGGCTTAGTCACAGGTGAGGGGGGCGGCTGGAGCAGATGCCCCTGGCCACAGCCATGACTTCACCCTCTCCAGCACCAGAACAGGCACAGCACCGGAGCGAGCTGCCAACTAACCGCGCAGCTTTCACAGGCCAATCTTTTACGACACGACTTTCACAACTTTCTGTTGCCGCACAAAACGGGTTCCCTCCTCCCCCTCCCCTCCAGAACAAACAAAACTCCAGTTCATTTTCCCAAGCTACGGTGAACTGAAAAAAAAAATCTAACTCTCCACGTCAAGACTCTCACAAGAGCTCGGACAAAAAGGAAAGCAAATTCCATTCAAGAGCGCTAAGCTTTGAAAGTTGGTTTCATAGTTTTTCTACAGGAGATGGGGCCTGTGAAAATGCAAAGAGACAGTCTGTGTGTGTCTGTCTCCTGCTGTGTCTGTCTCCTGTCTGTATTGTGCTGTCTCCTGCTGTCATTCTCGTCTGTCTCTTGCTATGTCTGTATGTCATATGCTGTCTGTCTGTCTGTCCGTCTGTCTGCCTGTCTGTCTGTCTCGTGCTGTGTCTGTCTGTCTTATGCTGCCTGTCTCTTGCTGTGTCTGTCTGTCTTGTGCTGTCTGTCGGCCTGTCTCTTGCTGTGTCTGTCTGTCTTATGCTGTCTGTCTCCTGTCTGTCTGTCCCTCATAGTGTCTGCCTCCTGCTGTGTCTTCTGCTGTCTGTCTTCCTGATTCTTGCTTTCATATTTCCTGCTGTTTCAGTTGATCTTTCTCCAACTGTATCATTCTGTGTCTATCCATCCAGCCTATTCTATCTCCAGCTATGTCTGTACTCTGAGTCATCGGGAGAAGTGAAGAGAAGACATGGTGGACAACCAGCCAATCCAGAAAAGTGTCTGGATTTGACCTCATTTTAAGTCTGTTACAGAACATAAGACACACTTGGATTTAGAATCTCAAACATCTAAATGACTTCTCTTTATCTGTACATGAATATACAATGGCAATCACAGAACTCAGGTCCAGTCCCAGCAGTACCTGATGGCTTCGCCTTGTGTGCCTTGCAGGGCCTGCTAATGCATTTGTATCCCAGCTGCAGAATCGCTCCAAGAAAACTGGAAGCTTATTTTTTCATGCTCACTTTTAGGGCGGCAGGAAGCCAATGTTTTTGTATTCTTCACTATGGAACACATGCAGAAAATGCTGAAACGTTACCAGGACTAGGGAGAGCCAGCCCACAAGGGAAGAGAGTGGTCACGTGGTGGATGTGTCTACGTGCTGGGGAGAACACAAGATGCGAGCTTGTGAAATCCCCTGACAGGAACCCAAGCTCATTGCCTTGGTTCTAGGAACAGCACGCAACACCAAACGCTCCACTCCACAGCCCCCCGCCTTCCTCTTCACACCTGTGCTCTTACCAGCAGCAGGGAGCAGGTGCCCAGGGCTCTGGGCTCACTGAAAGGCTGCTGGTTCGAGTCCAACGGCAAAGCTCTGTTCTCGTACCCTTGTGCCAGGTACTTCACTCAGATCCCTCCAGCTGTAGGAACAGGTACACTGCAGGTACCCTGGGATACACCCTGATACACCCTGCACAGGACGCCAGGGCTCATACAGACATACTGTACACACACTCACACCAGGGAAGCCAGTTTTCCCAGAAGCCAATTAACCTACCCGTATGTTTGGACTGTGGGAGGAAACGGGAGCACCCGGAGGAAACCCACACAAACAGGGGGGCAAACACACAAACTTCTTGTGTGTTCTATTTTACAGCAAGATGTGCCCCAGATAAACAAGCGCCCCTTCAGCAGCTTTTTACAAAACGTGTCGCATTACAGTATCTAAGTGTCTCCATCACATGAGCGTAGGCTGCTCTCCTCTCCACAGCTCATTTACAAGCCACAGCGCAGCACGCACTTCCTCATCCACAAAACTGATTGACGACAACGTCTAAGCAGAATGATACTGTAATCTCCTCTGTGGTGAGTTCCAGTGCGGCAGGAAGAGCATTTTTTTTTTGTGATCCTCTGTTCAGGTAAGATCCGGACACCTCAGCCTTCAGTTCCTTTGTATTAGCTAATGCATGACTGACACTTTTTCTTTACAATCTGGAGAATGTCATCGTGCATGCAGAAAATATAAAGCTTTCATTGTGCAATTGGAATTTTACTGAATCCTGGACAGGCACCTCTGAGTCTCCTATTCCACTCCAGATAAAGGTAAACTGATTCATGAATGACTTTTTAGAACATATACTGTACTTCAGCACCGGATAAGAAGCCTAACCTTTTCATGGCTTTAGAACAGTAGGATTTTAAAGGAACAAGTAAAGGTTAATTTCAGGCTGATAAATAGAAAGTAGAAATACAGCATTTCAGCTGTTGAACCTTCTTCAGGTGGATCAGTAGGGTTTTAAACCCAGAAAACACTATAATCAAAACACTTATGCATTTACTCTGGTACCCACTGGGGATAAAAGATTCTATGTTTATTCATGAATCGCAATAATATTCCTTTTTATTAACCTTTTTTTGTCTTCCTCTCTGGGTGCAAAGTGGAATTGTCTTGAGGCCACACGTCTACAGACCTCCTAGTTCCTCTCACAGTTTCAGACAGGAAGTGCACCCGTCTGGCTACCAATGACGACAAGGCCACCCCTACTTGTGTGGGGCAGCTTAGTGCCTTCGACATTAAACCAGGAAGAAAAAACCGCTAAATCTCATTTGAAGCCCAGCTTAGTCTCGTTTAACCTTGTAGACTGGAAAAGCACAATCACACGAGCTAATTTATCAGATCTGGGAAATCCTATTAATACATTTAAATATTAGCTGGTAAACTCAATTCAAGAAGATATTGACGTTCTTGAGTTGCACCATGTCACAGTAGTAGCTGCCTTGTAGTGCTGGGGCCCTGGATTCAATTCTTTGGATGTTATCTGCATGGAGATTGTATGTTCTCTCCATGTTCATGTGGGTTTCCTCTGGGTTCTCCCATTTCCTCCCACAGTCCAAAGACATAGTGGTTGGTTATTTGGCTTCTGAGAAAATGATCTCTGGTGTGAGTGTGTGTGTGCCCTGCCTTACACCCAATGCATGTGAGATGCAACGAAAATGTGTGCATCTTCAGGAGCAGGACTGGGGACTCGTGTTTGGAGTTTGCAACCCATGTCCTCATCACTCTCAACCCCTATGACATTCTGCCAGAGACAGACACATTTGTGCTCTGCTGCTCTGTGACTTTCTCCGTACTTCCTGATTGCACTTCAGAACTTTGATCCATGTTGTCTTTTTTTTTGTAACATCAATTATGTTTAAAGGTTTACTTGTGAAGAAGGAGATGGAATGGTGGTGTAGTGGTCAGCATTGCTGCCCCGCAGCTCCTGGGAGTTTGATCTGTGTGGAGTTTGTATGTTCTCCTCATGTTTGCGTGTACTTTCCCTGGGCAGTCCAGTTTCCTCCCACAGTCCAAAGACATACTGGTAGGTTAATTGGCTTCTGGGAAAATTGGCCCTGATGTGTGTGTATATGTCTGTGTGAGTCCCGTGATGGCCTGGTGTCCCATCCAGGGTGTATCCTGCCTTGTGCCTATGGCTTGCTGGGATAGGTTCCAGCACCTCTCAACCTTGCCTTGAATAAAGTTGTCAGATGGATGGTTTGCTTGTGAACAGTGACCGCGTGGGGTCCTTACCGTGGTGTCCACCGTGGGCACGCTGACTGAGGGCACATGTCGAGGAGAGGGGTCCTGAGCAGACACAATGACGCAGCCCTGGGGCCCCAGCGTCACAATGGCTGTGCCACACCCCCGCTTCACCAGCTCCGCCCCTGCCTTCCCAGCATCCTCGGGGCTGCCCACTGCCAAGCCTGTCAGCAGCTGTGCCTGCAAAGACCAGAGGGAGGCGCTGTTTCTACTGCCCACGGACTAATGACAGAGGAAACAGCGAGAGTCACTGGGGCTTGGAGGGATATAATGTATTCTAAAATACTGACTCTTCATACTGCACCTGCGAACTACCAAAATTACACTGAACTACAATGGGCCTTTGGAAAATGAGATTCATGGACCAGTTGCTACATCTACAATGCAAATATGTTATTTCTTCTTTTTCCCTGCCTATAGACTAACAATGCGGCAATCCAAAACCCAATCTGTACATTGAAAAAAGTCTAGTCAAGTGATTATGCATATTAAACTGAATTAATGGTTATTCCCAGTTACCATCTGACCATAACTTGTAATGAATACAGGAGTAAGTGTATTTGTTGTCTTTTCTGCTAATATTCTTCCCTGATGAAATGTTACAAGGCTCATCCAAGGATCACTGTCTCTGAGGATGTTGCCCATAACTTCAAACACCACCATTTCTGTTCCAGACCACCAGCTGGGAACAAGCAGGGCCAGGTCAGTTCGTATCAGGCAGGACACTGGTCTGTGGACTCAGAAGAGGCTGAGGCTGTCAAGGGCTGGCCCACCACAGACAGACCACACACGGGGTCAGTGAGACTCCTCATCCCTCTGTCAGCTTCTGCTACCCATCCGGCCCCCCTGAGAACTTATCCCTTGAAGGGCACAGTCAGTGGTAGGCTAAGAGAGGCAACAAAAGGTGGGCTGCGCTTTGATAATCTGGGTATTTTTTAGCTCATCCATCAAACCTCATACGGCCACCAGCTTTTTTCCCCAGCAAGCCAAGGAAACGAGGGAACAGGGCAGCAAGCTGTGAGCGAACACAGCACAGCGTGACTCAGCAGGGGCTCCTACTTCACGGCTGCAATCTTTCAGTGTCTTGTTGTGTGACTGGGTAACTGACAGACAGGACCACACAACAAGAGTTTTCCACGGAGCAGGGCCTGTCAGCAAGAGGAGCTGGAGGCCAGAGGTGTGCTCAAGGTGGAAGAATGGATGTGCTGGGGTGCGGAGGGGAGGGGGGAGCACTCAGTCTCATCAGCTCTCCCTTTCATGTCTTTACTGCTGCTCTGCACTCCCCCCCCCACCACCACATCAAAGCCCTCCTGTCAGCGTGGCCCCGGGACAGCACTGAGTCAGGCTGCGCTCCACCCTCTTCACATTTTCACAAGGCAGCAGGTTGCTGACAACCGAGGCCCCTCCTGATTCTGACAGTATCAAAAAAATAAATAAAAGAGCTTCTGGTAAATACTGGGCATCCGATTTCTCACACCCGCAACAGGCTCCTGTCGGCAGCTTTGGCAAATGTGCAGGTCATGACCTCTTCCCCTTCTGTGCCTCTGAGCAGTGAGGTCTGAAGGGAAAGAGATTCACTGCACTGTGCCTACAACATATTGGTGACTTAGACTCACAGAATACTAACACTCTGCTGGAAGACAGGGATCATATAATATATAATAGGAAGTTTTGCCCTATCTTTTCTGTTCATGTTTTACTCTTCCTTATGGAAGACCGTTTCCGCCAGGGAGTAAAAAAAAAAACGCGCTATGGTATCCCAGAATTCCGACTTAGTATCTCAGAATTGCGACTTAGCATCTCAGAATTCCGACTTAGTATCTCAGAATTGTGACTTAGCATCTCAGAATTCCGACTTAGTATCTCAGAATTGCGACTTAGCATCTCAGAATTCCGACTTAGTATCTCAGAATTGTGACTTAGCAACGCAGAATTCCGACTTAGTAAGTCAGAATTCCGACTTAGCATCTCAGAATTGTGACTTAGCAACTCAGAATTCCGACTTTATATCTCACATTTGCGACTTCGAAATAGCCATATTTGATTGTCTGTCCTTCTGTTATTGTAACGGATTCGGGTTCTAGGGCATGTGCCCTCGCCGCTCCCACCCTAGTTCGAGCCTCGCTGCACTGGCTCACTTTCTTTAAGAACACTTTCTTTAACCCCGGCGGCCGGCATCCCTGTTATGCGCAGGGAAGGGTGGTGCCGTCACCACACTGCAACCAGATCGTACAACCTGTATGTCGGCCGTTCCGTTACACTATTTTCATGAATCGTACAGGATCATAGGATCTAGAAGCCTGAAGACTTGTCTTGTACAGTGCCCTGATAAAAATCAAATTAATTACACTAATTTTTATAGAATCCCATTTCCGCCAGTGAGGCTTCCATAGTACCCGGATGTAGTAGTGCACGGTGGGCTTTTTAAAAATAGTTTTTATTTACGGAGACAGAATATGAAATAAGGTACAGAAATAGGCACTTCACATCCAGAAGAATTCACAATTATAAAAGCTGAAACATACTTTTTACGTATTTCCATTGTATGTCCTTTTTTACTTAAAAAAGAAGGTCTTCTTTAGCTCAGCTGGCAAGTCTCAGGTTCGAGCCAGTGCAGTGAGGCACGAACTAGGGTGGGAGCGGCGAGGGCCCAAGCCCTAGAACTGGAATACGTTACAATAACAAAAGGACAGACAATGAAATATGGCTATTTCGAAGTCACAAATGTGAGATATAAAGTCGGAATTCTGAGTTGCTAAGTCGCAATTCTGAGATACTAAGTCGGAATAATAAGTCGGAATAATAAGTCGGAGTTTTTTTTTTACTCCCTGGCGGAAACGGGCTTCCATACTTCCTTTATTAAAGGACAAATGTGAAAGATGGCCTACGGGAAGTCTCCTGTAAGGAGATCTCTGACTGGACTTCCCGGAGATTAAAGGAGAGGACTGGCCGAGTTAGTCTGAGTGGGCAGTGGGCATTTTAAAGCTTCCATGTGTCCCCTACAGGGCCTCAGATTGTCCCTTGCTGCTCTCTGGATGAATGTTGATCAAGGCAGCGGGGACTTTGGTAACGTCACAGAATCTTGGGGATTGTAATGCAGGAACAAAAGTTCTGTCAAAGGTTCAAGGAAAGCGGCAGAGAGGTCTGAAGGTTGACTGCTCCTTCAGCCTGCATTTGGGCGAACTGAGGATGTGCAAAGGAATCCAGGCAGGCCACAGGGTTCGGTCAGGGGTCAGCGCGATTCCACTGCGGCTGCACTGGAGTCAAACTGAGGAAGAGGAGAGCTGGCTCTGCTTCGCAAGACAGCAAGACACACTCTGTCATGGGGGGCAGGAAGTCGATGGGTGAGGGAAGGTGGTTGAGACCCAGGATCACATCCATAAGACGTTTAGATGTGCCCTTTTCTACCTGCAAAAGCAACGTTATTTTAAAAATGGAGCACAGCGATATGACAATGCGCAACATTAGCACTCCGTGTTTTGCTTTTTCAAAGCTAAGCGTGGCTCAAGAGCTGGTGTGTGCTGGCGTCTCACAGAACAGGGTAACATTCCTGGGTCGCTCCTTCTCTCATCTTCCCTCACCTCCGGCTCGTTGCAGCAGATCAGGTCCGAGTTGCTGTAGAAGTCCGGGTCAAGGTCCCGAACGGCTGGGGCAGGGTTGAAAATGGTCTTTGCTGGAAAACAAACGTAAAACAAAATGGCGGCTGTGAACTCTTCCTCTCACACAGCATCTGCAGGACACCAACCTGTTCAGAGGGACATAACCTGGACTTCTCCTGCGTCAATCCCTAACGAACCAGTTACACAACTACCGCCACTTAGTTCAGTATTACTCCTACCACGGACACCAATAATCCTGTTCCTATTTGTAAAACTGGTATTAATAATACAACTATTACATTAGTACTAACATTCCAACTAATCAGGTTTCCCATGAGCTTCAAAGTTTCCATCATAAAACAGTACAGGAAGACATATCAAAGGAAGAAGAGATGCCAAGTACTGCCAGTTTTAATTTAGAGCACAATGTCAGCTGAAACCACGTTGTACTGTATGTTGAATGGTTTTAATTTTGAATTGAGGCAGCGGTATGTTGTGCTCTCTATTGCTAATGCATCAGTTCCCGTAGAAAGGGGTTGTGTGTGTCTGAGGGCTTGCTGCGAGGAGCAACAATGACAGATGAAATAATTTGCAACCAAGGTGGTCCTCCAGAGAAAGATCAGTGAAGTAGAACACGACTCTCCCCCACTGACAGATGTGCCCTCTGTAGGATTAGTTACGCCTTCGCTTGCTTTGCCCTAAAAAGATTTTCCTTGAACATGACAAACGCGTTAATATCTGAGCGGTGAATGCCAGCGAGTTTTCCAGATTCTGTTCAGCTGTCAGGATGCATACCTTTTCTAGTGTGCACTTAAACCTCTCTGCCTCTGCCCTCAAGCTTCACGGAAAATCCTGTTAATCACCTCTGGGGGGAAGCGGATGGCACACTCGCCCTTCTAAACCCCCAGACGACACAAAGTCAAATCAAATCTAAAACAAAAGGCATCTCTCTGAGAGCTATCTGACCGAATTCCAGATTTCTATGCCCATTTGCACTGAAGAAGTTGTCTGGATTGTGTGGATCTTCGGTGAAGAAGTATTCTGGATTCTGTGTATAACACGATAAATAAGGAGGGCTCTGGGGTTAGGTGATTTTTTCCAAAGAGGATCAACTAAATGAAAATAAAAATAATTCCTTGTTAGCTGCAATCTCCCATTCTCAGTTGTAGTTCAAGCACAGTGCAGTTCGTTGTAATCAGACAATCCCAAGGCCTGCAGGAGATCCTGGGAATGTCACAGTGGTCATTATTTAAAATTTGATCATTTTATCCCAAAGGATTTCAAAACACATCACATTAAAGAGGGGACCCACTTCATTCATGACTGCAGTGCAGCTCTCACCTGGGTGATCCACACTCACAGAGCACGTGTGATTGCCCAGTGGTTGGAGGATCACAACACTGATGTTAGCCCTATGTCACAGCCTCTGTCACCAGGTCTGAGCCTCATTGAGCATTTATTGGGAATTCAGGAATGTCGCTTGAGATGGTGTTTCCCACCTTTATCAAGCCAGAGTTGATTTGAATTTCTCCTGAAAGAATGGTGATGCATCTATACTGCTGGTCGACTCTGCATAACGGCTTCATGCTGATTCTTCTATTTTATGTCTAGTAGCTGTAGTTAATTTACTAAATGAATATTTGACATAAGTGTCAAACAGAAGATGTCAATAATATGTCAAATGTTAGAGATCAGGCTCCAGCAGTACTGTGTCATTTTTGATACATAAGGATCTACTGAACAGTTAAAAACAAATAAATCACTGGGGCATGATGGTATTTTCCCCAGATGGTAATTTCTAAGGGGGCATAAACAGGTTCAGCCAGGAGACTGTTTCAAACTCTCTGCTGAAACAAAGAAATGGAGTCACAGTTGGAAACTGATGGGGAATCAATCAGGACAGAGAAGAAGAAAACCTCTTTACTTGAGGTGGTGGGTGTCTGGAACAGGCTTCCCAGACAGGTGATTGAGGACCAAACAGCTGGATACAATTTTAGATTCACTCAGCAACTTAATAAAAGAACTGGAATGGCCAGATCGCTTGCAACCATTTAGCCTCTTTGGTAGACAGTATTTTATTTTATTTATTTATTATTATTTATTTATCAATGCACGAACAGTACTGCATACATCGGTGTTGTCGGCAATGAAATGCGTTGTCCGCGAGCTTGTTAAGAGAGATAGAAGAGTAGAATGACAGGAATTTTTAGGGATTAGATTAACGAAAAGAAAAAAAAATTGTAGGATACAATAAATTAAATAATTGCAATTTACAATACAATTCACAGATCGTAGCTAACTGACATAAGATCAGACACAAACCCATCTAAAGGGTGGTGCCTACCAAGGCCCACCAGCACATGCTTGTTCATTTTAAAATCCTCAGGGGCTAAAAGTTTCCCAACCATAGATCTTAAGTGTGACTTCCCTCTTTTATCCTTTCACTGCCCTTTTTCTCTTTTCCCTTTTCGCTTTCACACCCCTGGTTCCCCGTTTTTTCTTCCACTTTTCTCCTTTGTTTAGGGTTCAATCTACCACACCATGATGATTGTTTACATTTGTTCGTTATTATTCTTTTTGTCTTTTTTTGAAAATCCAATAAACGAATTGAACATTAATATCCCCACTCCTTTCGCCTCCAATGAACGTCAAGCGTGTATCTGGGGCTCCGCTGTGAAGACCTTTGGGGTTCTTATTGCGCATCAGAAATAAAATCTGTGCATCAGAAGAGAATCGATGATGCGCTGCAAAGCACGTAATATGAGAAACAATGAGGAAATCTGATGTCAGCTCATGCATCTTATACATTTTTCACAATTCCCCCACGTGCGAGAAATGAATCATAACAGCAGGCCTGACATTCCAGTCAGGAAATGTAAATAACCCCCAAAGATACAGTATCTGCATAAATTAATAAAAAAAATATTTGAACAATTCTCTTTCCTGGAAATATGATGACACTACAGTGAGGCACGGTCTTCTGATTTTCTTTCTGTGTTCAATGCAGTACAATCTGCCCCATTCATGTAATACGGAAAGCTCTAGAAAGGTTGTTTCCAGTACACAGGCCAGTCAGTGTGAGAGTGTGAGTGCTGCTGCGTCAGAGGTGTCTCCTCAGCACTTGTCAGTCTGAGGTCACTGGCTCTTTCGAGTAACCGTGGAAACACGGCTCCAAGTCAACTACTCGAAGAAGCGGCGATAACGCGTGCCCAGCCGCTGATAAAATTCACACTCACGTCAGAGCGCATTCAGTTCCTGAACCAAGAGGAGAGTCCCGCTGTCAGACTGAAACTAGGCTGCAGTGGCAGTTCACTGTTGCGGTTTGCTCCAATGTCTCTTATTAGCATGTGTGCTGTTTCACCTTTACCTTACACTTCTGTGCACATGTCCTTGTGAAGACTCTCGTTATCACTACAGTTACAGCTTTTTTAAGCAACTAATTGTTTTTTAATCAATGACTAAATTGACTAAACATCTTAAAAAAGCATACCTTAGCTTACTTTCAACATTCTAAAACGAGGGACAACACATAAATCTACATTAGTCTAAAATAATTTACAATTTCATAATTCTGCTCAGGTCCGCTCTTCTTTTCCTATTATCCATTTTTACTTCCCCTCCCACTAGGAATGGAATACTCCGATTCCACTACCTGGGCCCATCATGGGACAGAACTCAGGAGACTCAGGAGCATTTTCTCGTTCTATTGCTGCCTCTTCTCTGCCAACATCTCTTACCGCAGAACTGAGCCCAGCACAGCCAGGCTCGGGCAAGACACTATCCCATCACCTCCAGCATTCAGCAGGATTTACCTGCTACTACCAAAAATACAGTAAACTTCTGGAACAAAGTTTTATGCACAGATGAGACCAAGATAAACCTTTGCCAATGTGATGGAGAGGTTAAACTGTGGAGAAAGAAGGGACCTACAGATGCTCCAAAGAACATCCCCTCATCTGTGAAGCCTGGCCTGGACTGGACACACATGGTCACCTCTGGAACTGGCTCACTCATCTTTACTGATGATGTAACTACATGAAGCAGCTGAATGAACTCTGAACTTTACAGAAACATCGCGTTCATGTCTTCTGTAGAACAAAAAGCTTCCATACTAATTGGGCAGTGCTTTACCATACAGTGACAGTGACCAAAAACACAGCTAGAGCAACCAAGGAGCTCGTCAGGGGAAACGAGCGGAAAATCTTATACAGGCCAAGTCTGTCAACAGATTTGAAACCAATTGAGCCTGAATTTTACACGCTGAAGAAATAATTGAAGTCAGAACATCCAGAGAATAGCTAATAACTCAAAATGGCTGCAGGAAAACATCTCAAATGATTTCCCAAAGAGTTTGGTGAGCTCAGTGTCTCACAGACTTTAAGCGGTCTCAAGTACGTCAGCAGCCGGATACAGAAATGTACTTAATGTGTCCCAATTGCTATGATCTCTTGAAATCTTTGGGTTACCCACAAAACATGTTCTTGTTCTAATATAATCAAATGTAGGCATGTAATTATCCAAACTTACAATTTAAATTGAACTCAAACTATCAAACTATATTGAACTCAATTTTCAAATAGATTTCAAATACAAATAGCTTGACTTTAAAGAAATATGACCAGGTCTGACATTTCTGCCCCAGTATTGTGGATGGCACAGCATGTTTATATATTTGATGCGTTGCAAATACACGATAACTGATAAATTGAATGTACATGTATAACACTGCACAGCATTTTTAATTGAAATGAGATAGTCATTTGTTTCATTATACACATGTAACAGTTCCTTCTAAGCTATCTATTTCAGAACTGTGAATGCATTGTTGTCGAAAGATCACTCACATGTTGTAACCTGTGTATTTTCATTAAGCCATTTCCACTAGGGGTTGTGAATGCAACATGGGATTCTCCGGTTGGGGGGGAATCGGAGCCTGGGGAAAGTGAGTAACTCCTCCAGTCATGAAATTTGACAGCTGTTAGACAGTCTGGCCTCTGCCTCATATGCAAAGCAGCAGGGCTGCGCCAGGCTGCCGCACAGAGCAGGGCGAGTGACTGTATCAGCGCAGTGGAAAGCGAATTCAGGGAGCCACCAGCAGCAGCGGCACCACGCAGTGGGACACAGTGACGACAGACAGACGCTGCTGCACATTGGTGCGGTCGTCTCCATGCAGGCTACGGATGGAGACCAGAGCAGCTCAAGAAGCCTACATTATAATTCTAGAAGTGCAGATAACCGCCCCTGCCCCAGCTGCTCTGCCACCACCTCCCCCTGCTGGCACCCGCTCCTGCTGTCTATCTTGAACGCCCCAGGTGGCGTTCGCACATCTGGAGCAGCAGCGCTCCCTGCGCCTCCCACCGCGGAGCGATCTGGAAGGAGAATGAAGTCATGTCTCAGCTGCTGGCTGCCCAGTTACATCACGTCTCCGGGTTTCGGGGGTTGGTGCCCTTTGATCCTCGCGCCGCAGCCCCCAGCTCGGCCGCCCGAGAGCCGTGGAAAACTAAACCGCCGAACGAAACAATTTAAGGAGTCACTCTGGCTGGGGGCAGTTTCACTTCGCAAAAACCTCTGAGCGCATGAGTCACCTGATCTGGGAAAGCAGGAGGCATGGGGGGTGGAGGGCGAGTGGTTAGAGCACCGTGCCGCAAACGCACAACACCGAGGTGAGTCACGCTGCACCGTGACAAGAGTTCCAGCCCTAATTAAACATCAGGAGAAATCAAAGCCTCCTCTCTGACACTGAGCTCACAGGAAAAAAACCTGCAGCAGTCTCCTGTGCAAAAGGTCAACGTAATTGCTTGCAGGCTGCAGAAGTGCAAGGCAGCAAGACAGAAAGAAACATTCCTGTACATGGAAAATTAAAAGAAGATCAGTGGCTCTGCATTCATCTAAGGGGCAAGTCATGAGGAAATCTCATCCAGCAATATGAAATTCCAGATAAACAAATCCCCCGGACTATATTATACTGAATGTTTTTTTTTTAATTATGATGACTGGCTTCCTGCTGAAGTTACGCCGCTCTGCTTTTATCTTTTCGACACTGTTATACACTTAATCGAAACCAGCTTGTCACCCTGCCTGCAAATCACAGGCCTGACTTCCAGGATGCAATGCATTAAAGCATAGATATCAAAGCTAACATTAAAAAAAAAGGCATCCGCATTCGTAAACAGGATTAGGATGCCACGATGCGCTGCAGAAACATCATCTTGGTTAAGCGCTGCCGCAGAGGACGAGAGACGGGGGAGAGGCTGGCTGGAGAGGTATGCTGTCAAGCTGAACCTGGGATGGCACTGAGGACTGTGCTGGATCTTGGCTAAGAACTTCCAAGTGGGGCAGAAGGCACCCCTTGTTATTAAACACGGACCCTAATACAAGCCGGTCGGTACTTTCTTAAATATGGAAAACTACTACGGTTGAGAGGGGGGGCAGAAAACAAAGACAAATAGAAAGAAGGAGGGGAACATGAGCACAAAAGAAAGGTTACAAAAGAGCCATTTGGCCCATGTGGCCCGTTTGCTAAAAGAGAGAAGTACAGTAGGAAGAGAGGTGGAGAGAGGAGAGACTCTTATGATCCTTTATTTTAACAAGTGAAGTGAACACAACACCCACCCAGCAGTACGAAAACATCACACTCCACAGACAATAACCCCCACACACTAGTGCAGAAGTATTAAATTCAACAGACAATAACAGTACCTCCCACCAGGACAGAACATCCATTTACCCGGGCATTATCTGTGAGCTGCTCATCCTGGCAAGGGACAGTTAACAGCAGCCAGTCAAACACAGTCAGTATGGCTCTGGGAAGTGGGAGGCAAACCCAAGTACTGGCCAAAGACAAGGTGAAACTAGGAAGAACGTGCAGACTCCACACAGATAGAGGCCTGTAGGCAAGGCTCCAGTCATTTACCCTGGAAATGTGAGGCAACAGTTACCTGCCCCACAACACAAAGGTAAAAAAAAAAGCCCCCCCCTCTCCCAGTCTCCCCCTCTACCACTCCAATGCAAGAGCAGCACAGGAATGTCATAAGGATCTAACTGGAGATGGGTGATGAGAGAGGCACTCACCTCCACTGCCGTGCGCCATCCTCAGTGCCTGCAGGGAGGTGGCGGGACTGATTTCCAGCTGGCACACTAGCACACTGGCCCCCCTCACAGCGGGCAGCGCGGCACGCAGATCCTCAGGGCCCAGGAGCAGGTTTGCGCCGGACACAATGACGATGGCATTCTCTCCTGCAGCCAGAGCAGACAGTGCTATCAGCTCACACTATGACACAACACT